TCGTTAAATTTTTTTTTCACTCATGATTTCTAAGAAAAGGATGATATTAGTGTTCAACAAATTCATTCAAGTGACAATCTAGGAAGTTTATTCACCAAAACCTTTTTTATTTTAATATTAAAAAAGTTTGTACAAAAGATTGAAATGCACAATTTTAAAAATTTTAAATAATGCTAGAGGAGTAAAATATACATTATACTTTTTTTCTTCATCAAAGTTTTTTTCATTGGATTTTTGTTGATATAATTTTTAATGAGATAGTGCTTCAAAAACGTATTCTTGAAAAAAATTATGTACTTTTTTTTCTTCATTGAAATTTTTTCTCATGAGAGTTTTTTTTTAATAAAGTTTTAACGAGGTATAGTATTAATATAATAGATATTCAAAAAATGTGTTATATATGTCTGAATTTTCATTTTGTTATGTATATCTAGATTTGAATATAGATTAGATTGAATTAAGATTAGGATTTAATCTATTCATCTAATATCTTAAAATTATTTTTATGTTATAAATTCTATCTAAATAGAGTTATTAGGGCCTTACTTCATTTATAAATACACATTTGAATGTGATCATTTTACTTCTTTTAAATATTTTTTTATAATTATTTTTCAATTTATATTTCAGAAAAATTTAGATCTCATGAAATGTAAAAGAGAAGCAAAAGAATAAATAAAGCACATGATGGTAGAAGAAAAGAGAGGAGAGAAAATTATTTGTTCTAGAAACACACAACCAGGATTACAAAGCTAAAGCAAAATTGCAAAACTTTGATTCAACTCCCTGAATATTCAAATTTCAAAGCTCAGACTCCGTGGCATCCCCGTTATTTTGCATAGAATTGAAGCCCACTCCAAAATATTGAAAATTACGAAAGGAACAAAGTCAGGCTGCGGCTGCGGCTGCCTTTGCCTTTGCCTTTGCCTAGCTTCTCATTTAAGCGAAAAAGAAAAAGGAACTCTCCGCTTTCTCTTTCCATTTCTTTCCTTCTCTTTCCTCTTTCCCCCTCCATAGCAAACACCTCCTTTCCTCTCTCTCTCTCTCTCTCTCTCGCTTTCTTTCTTTCTGCTAGGTTTAGGGAGTTAAGGAGGGCTTTGAGTGGGACCGTTGTTTGATGGGGCAACAATCGCTGATCTACGCCTTCGTGGCGCGAGGCACCGTCGTGTTAGCCGACTACACCGAATTCACCGGCAACTTCACCAGCATAGCTTCTCAGTGTCTCCAGAAACTTCCCGCTTCCAACAACAAGTTCACTTACAACTGCGATGGCCACACCTTTAACTATCTCGTCGATAACGGCTTCAGTAATCTCCTCGCCTTTCCTCTTCCGGCTCTTTTCTTTCATTTTATCTCTCTCTGATCTGCCTTTCTACTGCTTCTTTGAGAATGATTAAATTATGTGATTAGCATATCTTAATCCTTCAGTTGCTATTCAGTAGGAAGCGTGGGAGAGGGAAAAGACCGAGAATCAGTTGGCCTCTATCTGTTTTTAGAAAAGAGTTAGTTAAGATGTGCAATAAATGAAGTATGCTACTATTGTAGTAGGCTATAAGTAAACCTTTTATTTAATTTGGGGTAATAAAGAAATGTTGTAACTTAACTTGTAATTGAAACTTTCCAAAACTGATTATTAGGAGTGAAAAGTAGAAGATTAGACAGTAATTCAAATGAATTAAACCTGCTTAGAGATCTTTTGACAAAGGCTCCCTTAGCCACATCTTGAAGCAAAAAAGAAATATTTGCATTGAATACAGAAGGAAATAATCTTTGGAATGATTAAGGATTGAAAACTTACATAAACTCTTATAATTGCCAAAATGCTTGATTGTACTTTTATTTGAACAATTATGTATGAATGTGTGCTATAATTTAATCATCTGCTCTTTCGTAACAAAATTTGACTTCAAATTTGATGTTTGCCTTTTGTCAAAGAATAGAAATATGTATTTATGGTTTACTTTTTCATTTTAGTAACTTTCGAGGAAGCAAAAAGTAAATAGTAATAAAGCAAATAGCAAAAACAGCGTTCAGATTGAGCCTATATAAGTTCTCTGCTATTGTTTTCACTTTAAAAGTTATCTTATCCTTGTATAGTTTTGTGTTCTTCTGTATGCCTATGCACTATGGTACATAAACTCTAAAGTACCTGTATGACCAGGGGCTAGACTAGACTGATCAGAACCTTGCTTAGTTTTGATTCATCCTCTTACGTCCACACTTTTTTTTTTCCCTGGTATTTGCTGTTGGACAGATGTTAAAAAGACAGCAGTCATAAGGCTATTTAACTTTACATATTGTTAATTCTAAAACATCCATTTTCTTCGTTAAACTCAGTTCAGCTGTTGTGGAAATCTAGTGGTCAGAAAACTATGATTTAAATGTTTGGCATTTTCATTTGCATCAAGTGTATGATTGTGTGCTTTCTAAATTTTAATTTGATGACATTTGTTTACTTATAAATTTTAAGGGTATAATTTTTTATGAAAAACTAACATATGGTGAATTAATCAGTTTCACTCAAAGGGAAAGATTAAAAATTTTTCAACATCTTGCACTTCAGAAGCAATTAAAGAAAGAAAGATACCAGACTAGGAAAGACTGGAATTATTCTGCCAACAATTTGACATGAAATATGATCCTTCTTCTTCAAAGCAAATTGTTTCAAAGTAAAAACAAATCTAAGCAAAACTCATTGAAAAATATTATTAAAAACCAAGATACAAGAGATAAAGGAAAGAAAAGGAAAACAAGAATAAAACTGAGAAGAACAATGATAGAACAATGAAATGTTATAGGTGTAACAAGTATCGTTAACCTGAAAAGCTAGCTTGATTGGATGAGGCCCTTATACCCTTTGACCTCGAGGTGTGTCTCCAATCCCCCATCACGCTCTCGAAGGACACCTATGCCTTCAAAGACGTGCATTACCAGTGGACCATGCCACAGTTGTTGGCGTTGTAGTCTTCACATAGCCTCCCACCTCTGAGGATCCAAGGATTTTTTCCAAGGATTGAACTTGTGACCTCCTGGATACAAGGTTGGCTCTGATACCATTTCAACCAGAAAAGCTATATATATAGCATGATATTTGATTAAGGGTTGTTAACTTGTGAAGAATTTTATTACTTTAGCAAATGATCCTTTTTTCACATCCCTTACATATAGTTGTAGAAGAATAAGCATGTTTGGTCCTTTAATGTTTGCCGATGCACTGAGTTACTGAAAGCTTAGGTGTTCATTTCAGAGGGTACCTCTGGTGCTTGCATGATGTTTTCTTGTTGCTTCACAGCTTGTGTTGCATCCTGTATTATGAGATAAGGCTACTTCTTTCCTTGCTTGAATTAGCCTCCTTCCTTCCTCTTTGCAGCTTATTGCGTGGTTGCTGTCGAATCTGTTGGCCGACAGGTTCCAATTGCCTTTCTTGAGAGAATTAAGGAGGATTTTATCAAGATATATGGTGGAGGTAGAGCTGCAACTGCTCCTGCAAACAGCCTGAGCAGGGAATTTGGGTATTTTCTTTTTCTTGACCATTAAATAGAATGTCTTCTTTGTTATCAAGTATATTGATGCTATATATTCTTTTTGGTCATATCAATGTTATATTTTTATTATTGCTGATGTAGGCCAAAATTGAAGCAACATATGCAGTACTGCATTGATCATCCAGAGGAGATTAGCAAGATTGCCAAAGTGAAAGCCCAAGTTTCAGAAGTGAAAGGAGTTATGATGGAAAACATTGAGAAGGTAACTCATTGTCAGTTTCTTTTATAGTTGCCTTACACACTATAAAATGGAGTGCCATCTGAGGGTTTTAAGTGGGGAAGGAGTTCATAAATTTCTGTATCATGTGGTAAGTGCTCTGCATGTCAGGATCCTTCATTTTGTTTTTCCATTAACAAATCTATTTTGCAGGTTCTGGACCGTGGTGAGAAAATTGAGCTTCTGGTGGATAAAACAGAAAACCTTCGCTCTCAGGTCAGTAAATGTATATCATATTGTTCTACTTTGAAGAATATGGGCAATGTTTTCTAAAACTACGCTAGGGATTGATGATAATGAGTCAATTATTTGGGCTTGGTAGGTGACTGAGTGGCAAAGCCATGCTAACCTGACATAAAAATAAATTGCTTGCATATATAAACTGCACTTAGGATAGATCATGAAGGGGTGCATATTTGGGATTCTTTTGTGACTAAATTGGTAAAACCATGCTAACCTCTGACATCAAATTAAAGTACCAGCATATATTCTAAAGCTTTATGTAAAACATTGTAAGTTGACTTGACGACAAAAATTTCTAAGTTACAGGTGATGATGGGGTTAGTATAACAGACTGTTTCTTTCATCTAACTGTGCATTTCTGTCATTTTAAGCATTGATTGGTACAAGTAGTCGAAATTTCGAGGGCTAGCTGAAATAGCTGGTTAAAAACTAAATATCCTTACAGGCTTCTCATCCCGATGGTTTAAAATAAAAGGTTATGAATTCTGGATTGTTTTATCTTAGTTTACTGATCTTATAATGCGGGTGTTTGTTTTTTGGGCACTGTAGGCACAAGATTTCAGGCAGCAGGGAACCCAGATGAGGAGAAAGATGTGGTTGCAGAACATGAAGATAAAGCTCATAGTTCTTGGGATCGTAATCGCCTTGATTCTCATCATCGTACTGTCTGTTTGCGGTGGCTTTAAATGTTGATGAATTGCTTGTCTGCTAAATTCCATTGCCACCCATGGATTGGTGTTGCTGCGGTGACGACAAGTAATATTTAGTTTTTTTTTTGTTATTACACGTACTCTTCTGCGTATATCTGAAGGCTGTGTGCATGTATAGTTTGTATTTTTGGATTCTTTTGATAGCAGTAAGTTTGTTGATGTGTGGAAATTTGATAAGTGGATTGGAAATTGAATTTTGATACAAAAAATAATGAAGGTAACTTTTAGATGATGGCATTTTAAGGACATGAAGGAAGCATTTTTGTGCACATAAATTACAAGGATTAAAACAGGGAAATATTCTTTAATCTTGCATTATATCGGAATTATACAAACCCAAAATTTAACATTAGGTGTAACTAGAAGAAAGAGTCAAAACCCATGGTCGAAACATGTCATGTAAAGTAGAAGCCTGGGCAGAACATAGCGGAATTGGGGACCAAACAATGGTTGTTCAGTTCAAAAAACAGATTGTAAGTGCATTACACTGAAGATGTACTTTTTTCAGATGTTGATTTCCATGTTATCTAGGAGCCTAGCCTTGCCAAACCAGGCGGCTATGCAGAACACAACAGGACTCTTGATCTCTTCCACTGCCTCCAAGCTCTCCTGCTCTACGATCTGCAAACAGAGTCAATCGTAATTACGACACTTTACATTATATTTTATACCATCCGAGTAATATGGTTTTTGGCACCAATTGCTGATAGGCCATTTTAACCATTCACTAAACATCATGGGTGGTGGTGTTAAACAGTTTCATGTAGCATTGCCACGGTCAAGACTGTTTGCAATTGGAATCAGAGGGTGTAAATGAAGTATTCAAGTAGAGAATTGGCCCCGTTGGAGCTGTTGGTTTCAACCCCAACACGAGACTGAACCTGTTTGAAACTCAACTTCGACCTTAATTCATTAATGTTCATATAAATGAGGGTGACAATGAATACCGCTAAATACAAGGAAAAGAACAGCAGGAAATGAACAGGACCGGAGGTTTCAGAGGATTGGATCAACTTGGAGCGGTATTAGCCAAATGTACTAATTGAACTCGGGCATAGTCCATCAGCCAAGCCAATATTGCCAAATTATGTACAAGGTCAAGGAAGAAAGATAAATTGTAGCCTACCTCAGCGTAATCAACTCTCCCCCCAGCTTGAGTGATCGTTTTGACAGCCAAATCCTTTAGGTCTCCACAATTAACCTGACCTTCTTCTGCAGCAGATTTAGCACTTAACAATGATCTGCTAATGGACAATGCCTGCCAGTAAAGACAAACTAATTCTGTTACACGTACATGGGATTATATCTGCAGCCTGAAAGAGCATGCTTTGAATCGATGAGTATATATGAATTGAATGCAAGTGAACTGAGCTACTTCAAGTATCTAGATAAAGAGCACTTCCATCAAACAGATTATCGAAAATAGACTTGAGGATAAATACTTCGTTTCCAGGACCCAGCTTGGAAACCTCTCTATGTACGAGTTAGCGGTAACAGGGCTCAAAATGCAAAAGGAAATGGAAATAGTCAAGGAACCTTTTCCCTTTCTTCCGGGGAGAGATGCACATTTCGCGAACTCAATGCAAGGCCATCACTATTGCGCATTATTTCAGACCCCACAATTTCAATGGCAAAATCAAGATCTCGAACCTGGAGCAAAAACAAGTCGAAACACTTCAAATGGAAGAGTAAACCTCCCCTTTGAATACACCATTTCAGAAAACTAACAACAAGGTCACGAAGAGAGAGTTGAACAGTCTCACCATTCGCTGAATAATCCTCCATTGCTGATAATCCTTTTTACCAAAGACAGCAACATCGGGTTCCACAATGTTGAACAACTTGGTCACAATCGTAGCAACCCCTCTAAAGAAGACAGGCCTACTTTTCCCACACAAACCTTTCTCCAATCTCTCAGTTCTTACCCATGTTTCATGCCCACTCCCCTTTTCCTCCACACAGGAAACCACCCCGCCACCACCATCACTAGCACAATTCTCATTTTCATTCTTATTTTTTTGCTTGCCATTATTACTATAGTCATACAGATTCTTGGGACAAAAAACGGCATCAACTCCACCAGGAACAGACTTAAGCTTAAGAATATCACCATGGAAATCAGATGGGTAGGTGGAAAGGTCCTCAGAAGGAGAAAATTGACCTGGGTTTACATAGATAGAGACAACTATTAGCTGGCTATGCTTGTGTGCTTCTTGGATGAGCGATAGGTGACCTTGGTGAAGGTAACCCATGGTGGGAACTAACCCAATTGTTTTGCCTTGGGATCTTTTCTTTCTTGACCAATTTCTCATCTCTCCCTTGTCTGTTATAATCACAAGGTCTTTAGCCGCCATATGATTGAAGCTGCAAAAAGCTTGGAGAACTGTGAGTGAATAGATCAACTTTTGAGAGTGGAAGGATTGAGGGAATTTTTATGTTTGGGTCGGCTTCTCTTTTTTCTTCAGGGAAATGAAGGTGGAAATGCGGAATGGAAGCTAACTGAAGGTGGCGGGTTGGTTGGGACTTGGGAGTAACGCGCCCACTTAGGTTGACCCGACAAAGGTTTAACGATAATTTTTTATTCATATATGTTGATTAAAATAACATTTCTTATTTTTTTTTCTTCTTTTTGTTTAATTCATTTATCGTGTCATTCAATATCATTATTTATTTATTTATTTTTAAATGACAATTATATATAAACCATAAATGATTTTAAAGTATAAAGTTAATAAATCATAATTAAATATTCAATTATTATATATAATTAAACTTTTGTAATATAAATGTACAAATTATTCAGCCTTATCAAAATTTAAAAAAAAATTTAAGAAAGTCATTCAATATAATTAAAATTTTTAATTATAAAATGGATTGATCTTATTAATATTTATAATTAAAAATCTTATTAATAAATGTCACATTTTATTAATATTTATAATAAAAAATATTATTAATAAATGTGATTCCATACAATTAGATTTCTTATATATATATATATATATATAAATTACATAAATCTTATTAAAATTAAGAACAAAAAAATTTAACAATAACAATATAAAAATATAATAAACAAATATGACCATTTTTGTCAATAAAAGAAGTTTTTCCAATTATCTCTACTCTTGTATATTAATGCTTTGTTTAATGGTTTGTAATTTATTATTAATCTTAGTGTTCTTCTTTTGAGTTGTGCATTTTTCTTTGAAATAAAAAGTAAAATAGTTCTAGGGTGAATATATATATATATATATGTAGACTAGTTGTATTTGTTATCCTTTGCATTGCATATGAATTTTTTTTATATATTGTTAAATAATAGTTATATAAATATAAATATTTTTAAAATTTATAATTTAAAATACAAATAATTGAAATTTTATAATATTAATATATAAATTATTCAACCCTATTAAAAATTGTAATGAAAGTCATTCAATACAATTAATATTCTTATTTAAAAAATGGATATATTTTATTAATATTTGTAATAAAAAATCTAAAATGACAATTTAGATTTATAATAAAAAATATGTTTGTTTTTGCCAATTAAAAATTATCAACATTTATACTCATATATTATATAAAATATTGATAGATATATTGTAAAACCTCCACAAATTAATACTCAATAAATTAATAACGTCGATTGAATAATATTTTTGGTTAGTCTCAACTTGAAACTACCTTGGTAAGTTAATAATTCGCTAAATTTATAAGATAATGCATTTTATAAAAAACATATAGGTCCCACTTGATATATAAATTAATAATCTCCTTGTACATCAAAATTATAAATATATATGACTCAATTATGAGGCCTTTGTAAATTAAGACTTTAATGTTACATATTTCTTCTTAAAACTGATGTCTCTTTAGACTTTGCTTAATAAATTAAGAAGTTCTGGTGTAGTATTCTCATATTGCAAGAAAAAATTATGCAACGTAATTGTTATGCTTTGAGTGCATCTTTGAACGAGATAGCCTCTAGTTTAGAGCTATTATCTTCAACTTCATCTTCTTTGTCATTTCCCATGATGTTCTGAATAATTTGCTCGTCACTCAACAACTCTGAAGTTTCCTCATTTTCTCCTAAGTAGTTCAAAAGGTACTCAACATCTATTGTATCAGAATACTTTAACTCTTTGATTAAAACATGCAATTGCTAAATGACTCTATCATCTGAGTGTTGATCCAAATTCTCTAAAGCCACGTTATTCATAGACTTAATTTTATAATGTCAAAAGCAATTTGCAATTGTACTTGCTTGAACATCTATTATCCAAGCCAAGGTTGCTAGATTCATTGCATCTAAAACATTTATCTTCTATAGATTTGGGATCTTAAGTTCACAACCCTTCAAAAGATTTCAATAAAATCGACAACAATAATGCATCTTGAAAGCTTGTATGTTCCTCGCATCACAAGGCTGAATTTTTAACATTGTGTTTGGTGGCAAGAAAAATAATTCAATATTTTTTAAACCTTCAATAGTTTTTGGAGGATCGGGACAATTATCAACAAGCAAGAGAACTTTTCTACCATTCATTTTTCTATCAAGCTGTTGAACATATTCTTAGAATAAAATCTCAATCATCCATGTTAATTTGTTGGCATGATACTTGCAGTTCATACTGTTAAAGTTCACATTCTTGAAACACCATGGTTTAGCATATTTGATAATGAACCATAAAGGAATTTTCTCATGATCATCATCATTACAGCAAATAACAATTGTAAATCTTTCCTTGTCTTTTTTTTTTTACCTTCAAGTTGCTTTATTGCAAGAGAATGACTTGGTTGTAGCCTATTAAAAACATCTTTCATGAGAAATTGATCTAATTTCTCTTTTATGGACTGCAAATTGCTCTCCATGAGTTCCATATCAACAAGCACACTTTCTACGAAACGACGATATGTCTTGACGCCATGTCTTGATTTAAAGCACTTGAATTAATATTGAGAAAAATGGAATTCTGGCATATTATAGGGTACATCTTTTTCATAAACTCTGATAACTCTATTACATAGAGTTATCTTACACATAATTGGAACATAAAATAGAGCTAAGTTTTTTAGTTTTTAAGTAATTTATAGTTAGTTTTATGCTTTCTTAGTAATAGTTCAATTATGTTATACTTTTTCATTTTAAGCAATTTTAGTTTACTTTCTTGTTAAAAGTCCTAATTTCAACCTCCACTAATTTAGTCTCTTATTGATAAATGTATGCGAGGAAATGGAGCGTAAATGGTAATGGATGAATACAATTTGGTTTGAAGTGGTTGCTAAACATGTTATGGTGTTTCAAGTGTAACATGAGTTAAACAAGTCTAATCAAGGTGATTTTTAGACTATTAGAAAGTTAAGAGGAGAAGCTACAACTTCCATGTTCATCACTCCATCTAGTGCTGATGAGATCAAGGTTGAAAATCGCTTCAGAAGAAGCAGAATTGCTGTAAACCCAAGACAAAAGGTTTGGTTCCATAACCTCAAGTCTTTTGCCGCAGCACCAAACCAGTTAGCAAAATAAGCATATAAGATAGAATGTTTGGTGCTACAGTGCCAACCTTTTGGTGCCACAATGCCAAACGAGTCTCAACATTAGGGTAAACAATATGTTTGGCACTGCAGCATTTACAATGACTTAATGACATCTAAACCTTCAATTCTTTTATCAAATTGCTACGATATATGGTATAAAGGGCAACTTTTTGGTTTAGAAAATGGGGCTGGAGCTAGAGAACTTTTTAGATAGAAAATGAAATCTTTCTACAAAAGAGGAATGAGAGAAATCAAGGAAGATTGGGTCTAAAGAGTTGCAGCAACTCATTTCTCTCACTAGTTTTCTTTTTCACTCTCTACCTTTTATTGTAGAAATGATTTATTTTCTGATATTATTGAACTTTGTTGTAAATATGATGAGCTAAATATCTTTTTCTAGGATTGTGGTTGATTTCTTCATATAGTTTGAATATTTTAACTTTCAATTACTTGTTATTAATGGGTATTGTGTTGTTTATTTCAAATCTATCCTTATTGCTTCTATTGCTTGATCAACAATTAGACTAAGTTAGGTTTCCAAATGCAACTTGACAAAGGAAGTTTAGAATAAACCAAGGGTTTGAATAACGTGTGTTCATTTCACTTAGAGATTAGGTGATTTCATTAGTATTTAGGATATAAATATACTTAAATACCATATACAACCGAATTTAGAGTATAAGCTTAGTGAACCTACCTTAATTAATCTACATAGATATATGAAAAATTGATTATGATAGATATGTTTACAACATCTTGACGAAGACTTGTAGATAAATTTGGACTTTAGGGTAGCAACCAACCCATTGACATAAGTATAAAGAGAGAGATTAAATTCAAATAAAAGGTAAAGTAATTCTATAATCCTAGGCTTTAACATTGATTCTCTAGCAAGTTTTATCATTAATTTCTTAGTTTAGTCTTGGTACTTTAATTTTAATTTTTAATTAATTTTTAACTTAGATTTACTTGGATAAGATTAGGGTGTCGAATTTTAGTATTTACCAAGAAATTAGACACAATTCTTTGTGGAGACAATACCTTTTTTACTATTATATTACTTGTGTGACACGTGCGCTTGTGTGTGTGTATGTAAAACCAGCAACAAACTCCTTTGCCTTCTCTATGATTAGATCTCCGATTATATTCTCATGTTCTTGCTATTGAACAAACCACTCATAAAGTACCTTCTCTAACTCAGAGAATTTTTTAGTTTTGTATTGTTTGGCATCACATTTTTTAATGTTGGCTGATAAATACTTTGATGACTTCTTGATCGTATTTGATATTGTTGCTTGACTTACTTGTAAGTTAAACTTTTCTTACACATACTTTTGCAATTGCGTTTGGGTACAATTTAGATTTTTTATGTTGTACTCACATAATATTTTATGCATTTCATCCTACCCCATCATTGTTGATTTCTTTACACCTTCGAGATGAGAAGCCATTGTGTTTAGTTTTACCATTTGTAATACTTTATATTTAGTTTTACCATTTGTAATACTTTATATTCTTTTTATAGATGTTTTTGCTTGACCTAATGTACCCTAAATCCTAAACCTTGATAAATTAATTTTTTATTAATTAATGTATAAACTTATAAATTAGTAATTTATCGATTAAATAATATTTCGATTGATTAATAAATTTTCGTGGTTCTCAAGGTATTAATTTATAGAGGTTTTACTATAAAAAGAAAATAGATAAAACCCTTTCTTCAAGCAAGAGCATGTGTCATGAGCCTACTTTTTCAACTCAAAAGACATGTTTAACAAAGTTTCCAATCAAAAGCCATGCTTGAAATAAAGATGTGAGATATATAACATTCTATCTCACCCATCTCACCCATGCCGCAGATAGAGGAAAGGGATCTAGTCACACTCTTGTTGTATTAACCCTTGACCCACCCACGTTAAAGGGACCATTACACTAGCCCTAGTCTATTTTAACTTTTGTATCTCTTATAAAACCCCGCACATCAATGAAGATTCG